TAGCCTATTCGTTCTTCCAAACTATCTTCTATATCTATATCAAATTTCATCTAAATCCATTCAGGAGTTTAGACTTCAAACTCTAACAAACACACGTCCATCAATCTAAACTTTTGCATATATAATATAAGTATGTTTGTTCCTGTTTGATTGTTGGTTTGTTTGTTACTTTCTATTATAAAATTCTTTCGCCATTAGAAAGATGATCACTAAAGAACATAGGCTATATTTAATATAACTAAAGTTTAGTAGACATCAATAAACCGCATATTTCAGAATATATGTCTTAAAAATTTCTTCAATTTTATATAATCTTTACCACTCGGGCGAAGTCGGGGCGCGACGCTAATAAAAAATCTTATATGAATATAATACTATACTTTACCTTTTTCATTGAATTTGAAATTAACCGTCTTCTGCAGCTGATAGTTCGGTCTCCAAGCGCTGGATGACACGGAGATACCTTTCCACGTGTCGTTAGCAGTCGATGACAACCGAGATTGTCTTAACTGAAAACATATATCTATTAAACTAAATAATTTATCTAATTAACTATAAACATAATGTAACAATAGGTCATTGTCCTTTACTTCTCATCGGCTTGTCCTTGTCCTCATAGAGGGTCGGCACAGTGTGTACTGTTCTTCCATACATCTCTATCAGCCGTTACATCTAAATTCACTCCCTTATTAAGCATCTCTTTTATATAACCCATCCATACGTTTCCCGTCTCCCTTAGTCTTTTAAAATTAACACATTTAAAAAAAAAGATAAAATTACCTTCCATCACAATACACTTCGTACGAAATTTTAACTTAAACCATATTATTTTTTCATTAAAATAAATTTAATAATAATTTGATTTTTCAAATGTACTTACATATCCCAGCGCGGCCTGTATAGCGGTGTGTTCGGAGAGCGCTGCTCGCGCGCCGGTGCTCGCGAACAGCTCGTGTTCGTGCTGCGGTATGAAGGCAGTGTGCACGTCGCCCGACACGAACGCACTCGCGCCACTCAAACGGAGCAGGAAGTTCACGTTAGTCTCCAAACCTGCTACCTAGTGGAATAAGATTAAAAATTAGTAAATATATTATTACGAGCTTGGATTAAAAAAAAATTAAAAATTTCTTGGCCAATTTCTATAATTATTTTCTCACTAGCTTTCACTCGCGAATCCATCCGCGTGAAATTAAAAGAAACCAAACTAAGTAGCCTAAGTGTTCTTCTAGACTATCCTCTGTATCTATGCCAAATTTCATCGAGATCCATTCTGCAGTTTAGGCTACAAACTCTAACAAACATTCATCCATCCATCCATATAAACTTTCGCATTTATAATATTAGTAAAAAGTAAGATAAGATTAGAAAGCTACATTATAAGTAACAGAGGCTATATTTATTAATAGAATTCTTTATAATACCTAGGACGGACGCAGTCAACAAAGGCTAGTTTCAAATAAAGTAAATTTGAAAATACCAGATTTTTCAAACATACTTGATACTCAGAGAGCTTCCTTCTAGTTTTAGCTAGGGCCTGGTTTCGGTCCTTGCCCCACACGACTAACTTCGCAATCATCGGGTCGTAATGAATTGACACCTCTTGCCCTTCTCGTACTCCTGTCTCCACCTAGAAGTACAAAACATTTAAAAACAACCATTAACCAATATGTACCATAGAGTAGAAGTGGATTCGCCGAGATAGCGAAGCGATCGCCGTTCATATCTACGATTACAAATACGCCGTCCATATCGACTGAAGACGCAGAAAATATTTCCCCTTCATACGTAGTTGGGTAGGAAATTAATGTCCTCGACTGTACATATGTAATTTAATTCCTTACCCGTACGTTGTCCT